CCCGGCAGGTCGAGGCTGCGGTGGCCGGGAGCGGCCGCTGCACTCCAGTCTGGGTGACCCAGTGAGACTCCGACTCAAAAAAAAAAAGAAAGGAGAAGACATTTTAGGGGAAACATAATTGAGGCGGGACCAGGTGTGGTGGCTCATGCCTGTCATCCCAACACTTTGGGAGGCCGAGGAAGGAGGATCGCCCGAGCCCAGGAGTTTGAAACCCAGCCTGGGCAACATAGCAAGCCCTCATCTCTGCAAAAAAATTAAAAAACTCGCTGGGCAGGCAACCCACTTGCGTCCCCTCCTGCTCTGGGAGCTTTTCTGTCTTCTCAATAAATCCTCTTTCAAAAAACAATTTGCTGGGCACAATGGCTCACACCTGTTATCCCAGCACTTTGGGAGGCGGAGGCGAGAGGATTGCCTGAGTCCGGGGGTTCAAGACCCACCCGGGCAACGTGGTGAGACCTCATCTCTACAATAAATTTAAAAAAAATTAGCGAGGTGTGGTGGTGCACGCCTGTGGTTCCGGCTACTCGGAAGGCTGAGGCGGAAGGATCGCCGGAGCCCAGCAGGTCGAGGCTGCGGTGGCCGGGAGCGGCCACTGCCCTCCAGTCCGGGTGACAGAGTGAGACTCCACCTCAAAAGAAAAAAAGAAGCCCCCCTGCTGCCAGCCCAGAATCCACGGGGCAAAGAATATCCGTGTCCAGCCCAGAATCCACGGGGCAAAGAATATCCGTGTCCAGCCCAGAATCCACGGGGCAAAGAATATCCGTGTCCAGCCCAGAATCCACGGGGCAAAGAATATCCGTGTCCAGCCCAGAATCCACGGGGCAAAGAATATCCGTGTCCAGCCCAGAATCCACGGGGCAAAGAATATCCGTGACCCTCATCAGCCAAGAAGGGCCTCGGGCCTCAGCTATTCGGGGTCCCTCAGCAGAGTGTGGGGAGAGCAAGGCGGGACTTCAGGAAGCCTGAGCAAAGGCAAAAAGCCCCACCGCACCGGCCTCCCTGAGGTTGAGAAGAAGGCTCACCCTCCTGGGTCCTGGCAGGGAAAGGAGGTCACGCTGCATTTGCATGTGTGACACCGAGGTCTCGGTCTGCCGGCTCCTCTCAGAGGTACGACCGCCTGGGGCTGGGGGGGACAGGGCCAGGAGGACCCCCCCAAACCTCCCCCCAGACCATGGGAAGCCCCTCCTCTGAGCCTCGAAGGCAGACATTTTGGGCCAGGCTGGGTGGCTCAGCCTGTCATCCCGGTGCTTTGGGAGGCCGAGGTGAGTGGATGACCTGAGCCCATGAGCTCGAGACCTGCCCAGGCAACTTGGCGAGCCCTCATCTCTACAGTAAATAAAAAAATTTAGCCGGGCGTGGTAGTGCTCGCCCGTCGCTCCGGCCACTCGGAAGGCTGAGGGGGAAGGATCGCCGGAGCCCAGCGGGTCGAGGCTGCGGTGGCCGGGAGCGTGCCCCTGCCCTCCAGCCTGGGCGACACATTGAGATTCCCACTAAAAGATAAACAAATACATACATAAAAAATTAGCCAGGCATGATGGCGCCTATAGTCCCAGCTACTCGGGAGGCTAAGATGGGAGGATTGCCTAAACCCAGGAGGTCGAGGCTACCATGAGCTGTGATCATGCCACTACACTCCAACCTGGGGGACAATGTGAGACCCCGACTCAAAAAAAAAATTGAGGCAGGAATCACGCCGCTTAATCCGCCACTCAGGCGTCTGCTGCTGCTCCTCCCCCACCCTGTCACCTGCTCGTCCATCGAGTCCCCCCGACGCCCAGATGTGTTCAGGTAGACCCTCCCGGAAACATCTCCGTTCACCGGGACACATCTCCCGCCCCCGCATCTGTACACACTGCCCTTCAGATGGGAAATACTTTGGGGAAACTGAGGCACGAGGTGACAAGAAATGAGGCCCTGAGGCTGTTCCCCTGGCCCTGGTGTCAGCCACATCTCCCCGGCCAACCCCCCCCCACCCTCCCCGCAGTGGGGGCGGAGACTGTGGCAGGAAGTCCATCAAATGGGAGGCGGTGGGGGGGGCCGGCTACATTCAGGGCAGGGGACCCGATGGGCCCGGGATGGGGTCCCCGGGCGTGGTGCTGGCCCTCCTGGCGCAGTTCTGGGGTGAGTACCTGGGCTCCCGCTTCCCTCTCAGAGCCACTGTGAACGTCAGTCTCTTCCTTCTGCCGGGTGGGGTCTGTCCCCCTCTGAGAGGCTCAGGACCTCCCTGGGGTTGGCGGGTCCAGCCGGGGCCTTCCGAGGGGGCCCCAGGATGAAACCCAGCCTTGTTCAGCCTCCCTGGTCTCCGTCCTCTTCTCCAATTTTCCTCCCTGCCTCTGGTGCCAGCCTGCTGGCTTTTCTCTATTTCTCTTTGGTTGTTCCTTTGTTTGTTTGTTTGAGTCAGGGTCTCACTCTGTCGCCCAGGCTGGATTGCGGTGGCACGATCACCCTCCCTGCAGCCTCGACCTCCTGGGCTCAGGCAATCCTCCCGCCTCAGCCTCCCGAGTAGCTGGGACTACAAACACAACCAGGCCTGGCTAATTGCTTTTATTTTTGTAGAGATGGGGGTCTCGTTATGGTGCCCAGGCTGGTCTTGAACTCCTGGGCTCAGGTGGTTCTTCAGCCTTAGCCTCCCGAGAAGCGGGACTACAGACACGCACCACCACACCGGCTAATTTTTTTACCTCCCCACCCACCCATAAAGCCCACCTGCAGCCCACACCACGCCGTCCCCTACCTACCCTCCTCTACTCCCTCTCTCCCCCTCCTCACTGGCTTTGTTGCCCAAGCTGGTCTTGAACTCCTGGATTTCAGTGGTCCTCCTGCCCCGGCCTCCCAAAGTGCTGGGATTACAGGTGTGAGCCACCACGCCCTGACTTTTCTTTCTCTATTTTCTTTCTCTGCTTCCTCAATGCACCAGGCTCGATCCTACAACTTGGCCAAAGGCCGCCACCACTGACACAGTCTTCGAGCAGAAGCCTGGGTACCGTCCCCCCGTTCCGCTGTCCCTGCCCCCCAAATTCCAGCGGCTTGTATTTCTTCTGAGGGTAAACTTCAGAACGTGTGGAGAACTGGGCAGGGTGGCAGCCCCTGGAGGCCCAGCTACTCTCGGGAGGCCGAGGCAGGAGGATCGCTTGACCCAGGAGGTCGAGGCTGCAGTGAGCTATAATCATGCCACTGCACAAGCCTGGACCCTGCATCAAGAACCAGTCTCCGCCGGGCTCGCTGGCTCAGCCTGTCATCCCA